CCATCTAAAAATATCACCCTTTTATTGACATTAAAAAATTATATCGATTGTGAGAATTTATAAACGTAAATCACTGTTCGAAGATACGTAAACGTGCAACGATTCGATTAGTTAGCTCCGTGTTCCTCACGGAGGCGTTAGAGTAAACACGAGACCGCAGTTGGCATTCAATTACCATCAAGGCTTGATGGCTCGTTACCACCTCGGTGTGGGAGTTGGAATTGAAAACGTTGCCTCTGACACATCGTAAGCTCAATTTCGTTCTGCTGATGTAATCGATACGTGATACCGAGTTAATGGAAACTTCGTTAGCTTTCTATTGTCTCATCTGACACTTTTACCAAGTAGAACATATTCTTATCAATCGGCCATTAGATTACTTATTTACATTTCTGCTTAAAGAAAACAACGCTTCATATACATCAGTCTAATAATATTTAAGATAAAAAAACTGATGATCTTTCGAGGCAATTTTAACGATTCGTCGAAAGGTAAATCGCAAAACGTTTATGAAGTGCGTGAAGTATAGATGATTCTCGATTCATTACAGTGGAACGGAGGAGGACGGTGAAGATAAGTAATCGTGTAGCTTAAAAACCGCGCCACATCAATGGCGGACAATCCAACCCGGCTTAACTGCATAAATGTACATACATATACATACACATGTTTCTTTTACGTTCCTCACACGGTAAGAGCCTGCGGCCTCTCGCCTCCTTCGTCATTCGTATTCTCTTAGACCTTCTCCTTCTCCTTTGACCTATCCGATTATGCCTTCTTCTATCTCGCTGCGTGGCCATCCCAGAATTCTTTTTTCACCGGTTCTCCTTCTCGTTAGCTGCTCTTCTTTCTTTATATTCTTCGATGACTTCGATTCTTTGTAGAATTGGCTGCTATCGCAAATCTCTGTTAACCATCCGGAATTAAAAATGAATTTTAAAGGAGCTTTACAAGTCGAGTAAAAATACTTTCGTTTTTATACATTTTTCGTTTAGGTTCCATAATCTTTAATACATCTTTCGTACTTCATAAATTAAATCACGAACTGCGACAGACATGTAGAATTGTGATGAAAGAATGCTGGTTTCTCAAAACTTCAAAGTTCACCAACGACCTTGTGTCTTTTGAGAAGAGATATACTTTCATCGATGGCATTATTCTCCCTTTTATTAGCATCTCTAGGCGTCTCATCGCTTTTCCACTTGGAGCATGCTTTGGGCCTCTCTTCATTCCGTTCATCCTCCTCTTCCACTCTATTACCCTCGGTGAACACCTTCGCAGCGTATCTTCAATTTCTAAATCTCTCTCAGGTCTCGAGTTGGTTCTGTTCTCTTCTTTCGTGCCCCTCTATGCTCGGTTCTCCGTTTCTCTCGAGGGAAGCACCTCCGCAGCTTCACCTCTTCGCAACCTCCTCCACCCCTTTTTCCTCTCTCCTTTTTCCTCCCGTTTGGTCCTTCCCTGCACTGCACGATTCTCGTTCTCTCCTTGTTCCAGCGATCTCCTTACCTTCTCCCTTCTCTCCTCCTTTCTCCACCTGAGATCCTCTCTCCTCTTCTTGCCTCCGTCACAGCCGTTCGCGCCGCCTTTCTGCGTTACGGTACGATCCAGCAGAGCCGCGCCGCTGGCGGCACGGAAAAAAGGCGGCCCTAAAAGAACTTCATATTTTTTATGCTCTGACAGCGACTTGGGTGGTCCAAAATGGCCGCCAATGATGTAATATAGTGCTCTCGCGCCGGCTATCCCACCACGGGAACGTCACGGCAGCCTATATAGAGGTATAAAGACCCCTTTCTCTCTTCTCCATGGCCGTTGTTTCTTTCTCTCCCCCTGGACACCCCTCCGCCTCACGGGGCACACCTAAACCCTTAACCACCTACTTCTAACCGCGCGGGTTCCTCGGATCCCATTGCCGGCCTCTCCCGGGGCATGTAATTACTCGACGGACGATGTCTTTCGGCCCTTTTGCTCCTCGACCGTATTACCTTCTTCGGGCGTCTCGCGCCGCGCCGCCCGGACGACGCTGTCGCACGGATCGCATGGCCTTTTTTCTCCCGGATCGGGCTGGCCACCACGATTTTGCTCCACCATTAGAGTTAGAAACTGCCCGGTGAAACGCAACGGGTTCCTTTACGAGAAGTGGCTGTACGGATTTGGGATGTACGATTTTCTTGCCGCTGCAGCGATTAGCCCTCTGGGATTTCCTGATTATTCCCATCCAAACACATTCGATTTCCATTCGCTTCCAATCGTGCTGCAACGTTCAAGTTTGACAACATCCACGTAGCATTATCTGTGATATATTTTCAATTGATACATTTCTTCCCAATCGAAATTACCGTCTGTCGCTCGAGGCCAATTCGCCAGTGTCATAATGGCAGTAACCGCCCCGAAAAGTTCGACGCTTCCCTTCTCATATTTATAATCGCACGTTGTCTCGTCGTACCGATACCAACGGGTTTATCAAGCTGATCGCTGTCAGCAACAAGAATATCCGAAAATACTATACGAACTGCATGTTCACCAGGAATCATCGTTTCCTCGTTTCTCACTAATTTATTACGCTCGCCAAAGGGTGGTTCATTAAAACGAGTAACAAATGTGGCACCTGCTGTTTTTTCTAATCTCAAAGAAAATCTGGCGAACCGTCCTCGAACAGGCAGGTACCTCCACGCGATATTTTTGGCGCAGAAGACGCCGAATTTTGAAACCGATGCTCGAACAATTCGTCACGCGGCACGGTTAAAAGAGCCGCGCGTTTCACTCAGGTAACATTCCCGAATGTTGCTCGTGAACCTAGTATTTTCGCGATCGGTTCCCGACCTCAAATATTGTGACTTCGCCGTTGGTCACGCTCCATAATTTGTTCGACGAGCCACGAAGTTTCACCTCCAAGCCAAACGAGAAGAATGGTATCCTGTGTGGACGTGACGAATTCGGCAATACACAGATTTTCTTCATCCGATTGGAATTTATCGCGAGAAACTTGGATTATATGCAACATTCTCTCATGAGCACCTTCTAAGACTGCATTATGCATGTATAAATATGTAAAATGCATGAATGTAAAGAAAATGAATACAGCAGAATTGAGGCGCACACTGCCTCTTGATAAAGATAATCTTGGTAATTTTGTTGTTCCCAGATGACAGAGTTTTAATGTTTGTCGATGGAAGTTCAACTATCAGTGAATATTAGATGCATATAAGACATTTCTTAGTTTCTCGAATTTAAATTTCCTAGTAAGAAATTTTTTATCTCTTGTCATGATATGAATTAAAATCAGTATTTGTAAAATATAAGAATGTAAATAAGAAAACCGTTGCTAGCCATTTATGAGAAACCCCAGCAATGCTACTTTACCCCTTAGTTACACGAGCCAGTTGTCCTCGTTTCCTCCTCGATGAACTTTATCCAATAATGCAATTAAGACTACGGCAATGTAACGTTCGCATGTAACAATCGAGTTAACCAGGACATAATATTCTCGGAACAATGATATTAAAGAACTTAAATTTTCCTGAATATCATACTTTTATTTTATCATTCACTGTTCTGAATCAAATCGAAAATGAATTAACTTTTGTGTCAACAAGATTTATAATAAACGTTTAACAATTTCATTAGACATCGTAAAATTATTAGTTAGTATAATTTCAATATTGGTTCCTACAACAAGCTTTGAAGTACAACTGGTACCAAAGATAAAGAAATTGGATAGCAGTCGGACAAATTGAAGACAATCAGCTTCTTCAATTTTTACTTGCTAAGAGAAGAGAGCATCAGTCATTCAATATCATTAATTTCTGTTTAATTAGTTTTCGATCTTGAACAAACTAATTCATGAAATAATATAATCATTTAGAAATGTAAAAGTAATTTTATTAATTTTAATCATTTAAACTATGTACTTACTTGACGACATTTCATATGCACCAACCCAATATTTTACTCGTAACAACTTTCACCTTTGTGTTGCCTGATTTTGATTAAGTAATTCGGTAACATTAAATCGGAACGTACGGTTTCATTTTAAAACAATACTCAACCAAATAAATACTTCTCTTTGATCGCTCGGCACGCTGGAGAGACAAGCTGCGAGCGTACACTACTCCGAAAGGGGAATGAGAAACGACCAAAGAGGTTTGGTTTCAATCTCTGCCCGATCCGGTATTAATATTTATCGAGTCGTTTTCGAGGCGTAGTAAATATCGGGAGAGAGGCTGCGGTACGATAATTTCATTGCTTAATTCGAGCGGCCCGGGTCCGTGGCCCAGAGGGGAGACGATGAGGTGGACCACGGAAATCGGTCCCAGCCACGCACGCGCGCTCGTTCGTTTTTCGTAGGCGCGAAATCACGAGGCCAGAGGATACCCGATGGCCGTAAACGATCGTTTCGTACCTCGGCCGAGAAATATTACGTCTTCATGGACACCGAGGTTACGCCGTCGGTATAATTTCGTCATTAAACTCCTCCCCACCCGTGTACTCGTTTCATCCCTGTGCCTGCCATTTACCGTGGATCGTACTGCGATGAATAAAGAGAAGCGAACATGACCCACGGAGAGAAGAAGAGGGAAGACTCGAAGGCCGCCTATCGATCGATGATAATGATCCCACTGATGATAGCTCGCTCGTTATTATACGCATCCCATCAGTTGAACGAGGAGGAAGAATATATAGAGATACGAAAGTGGATGGAGAGCGAAGGAAAAGAAAAAATGGGAAGAGGGATAAGAAGAAGTGCGTTCGTGTTTTAAGAGCTGGAAGCGATTAGTCGACGCCATTACTCACACCGTTTGCGTCTGCCACATGGCTAGCGATGGATCTTTTCTTCTCTTCTCGTGCCTCCGTCCTTCCATCGCTCGTAACTCGCGCTTTCATAAGACTTTCGATCGTCGAATGCGTTTCTTGCCCTGTCAGTAAAAATACGTAATGAAGATAATTGGCTATGTTACCTATTTGTTTGGAACAGTAACGATAGTTGCAGGATTTCAGTTTTCCGGATTAGAATCTCTTTCGCCACGTTCTCCAACGAAGAAACCAACACGGTGCCAGTTCGCCGGTTCCGCGAGACGGTCCGTCAAGCAGACCTTACCGCGGTGTGTTTGCGCGTTTATGCAAACCAGCCTATTAGCGGGAAACCGACGTGCGTCAATCCGTTTTAAAAGTGGCACGTCAAACTCGCGAGGCAGCCACGGGAGAAAGAGATCCAGAGAAACACGTGTGCACGCTCGTCAAAGAGAAACGTATTCATACGACTCGTTAACGGCTCGTTAAACGTGCGGATAGCGCGTGAACACGAACTGTAAGTTCTACTCGAGTTCGCAGGCTAGAACAGAGGGAATTAAGTACCGTTTAGAAAACTTACGTACTTATGAGCTTAACTATCGTTATATTAAAAAGGTTTAAAACCACATAAGCTACTGTGCACCTTTTGCAGTTAATCTTTAACCGTTTCTAAATTTTATTTTGCACAGGAATTCGCAGTCTGCTTTACGATGGTATCATCGTTCAATTTCAGAAGACATGGAAGATACGAATAGTAAGTGTCGCGTTTCTTGAAGTTACTTCAATTAATACTCGTGAAGAATGACACGACATGTCAATCTCTTTGTACAAGGATATTATGAAGATGTCGCCGAATGAGCCCCACCACGGGGATCAACGGGCACGTGCGAAGCGTTTACAAAACGCTTACGCGTACCACAGGCCCCGAGTACACATCGTTGCCAGCCGCATTATCTGATGGTACCGACATACGTCTTCGCTGTCAGCCAATCGTTAAGGAAACAATCAGACACGCCGGAGACAGATCGGCTGCCAACCACCTCTTCCCTCTACCCCTTCGCGCTGTCGTCGTCTTTTTCATTTTCTACTATTTTTTATCCCGACATTCGTATCAATCTTTCTGATCCCGATGTCTGCAATCCTTTCTTTTCAATCATAAATTATATCAGTGTTCCTGCACCAGATCCAGTTTAACGGATTATACAATCCACAATTAAATTCAGTTCTAACGATGATATTGAGACAATGATTAGAATGTAATTGACATTGTACAATAGAAGGCTGTGTTCAGAAGTATGTTAGAGTGGGAAGAAGAGCCAGGAAAATGTGATACAAATAATAAAGGGCTGAAAGTTTGAACTTGTTAAGTTTACATTTCTCATTTTGAAACGTGATACCGCGATAGCGAAACGATCGGCGATCATTTTTACGGGAAAGCGATGGCCGAATGGAAATTCGATTACCCGTGTCTCGCAGGTGTTTCCTTCGCCGTGTTCCTTTGTTACGTGACAATATTGCGAACGTTTCTCGCCGGCAATAAAGCGCCTTAACATCCGTGCCAGATGTCACCAGACGGGGAGCGTCATATACGAGACCGAAATCTCAAATATTAGCGGATTTCCAACTGGATAGAGAGGATGGTACATCCACGTCTCTAATATCGCGGTTTTTTCCACCCCCGGTCGATATGTACGCACGTGCACGAAACGGCTTATAAAACTTTCGTAGAACACGACCATTCCAGTGAGCATCATCCTCCAACTCGCCTATCGCGAACGAATGAAACCGTTAACCGTGAAATTAAAGTGTTTGAATATTTTATAGCAAGTTCTTCCTATTTATTATTCTTGTCTTCTGTAAAATATATTGGTCATATTTTAAAAGAAAATATCACAGTATTAGTAAATGTGATCTTAGAATTTCTGATATTCCTTCGTGCTTACAATTAGTTACACATTTCATGCAATCGTACGTGTGAAAATATTTTAAGGGTAATTTTCCAATAACTTTGAATATATACAAGTTAGCCTACAAAAATATACCACGTGCTGCCAGCTATCCACGATCGTGGTTACACAGATATTTTTATGTGTCCGACTTATCTCCTGTCGAATAAGTAGAATTGTAATCCAATGAAATCTCTTACGCCTCCACCATACAATGTAATCAATATCCACTCTGCTAGTATGATTCAACCTCAAGAACATTATGTAATATATATATGTCAATAAAATATGCCAGTTTAATTTTATACAAAAATTTTAGAAGATTCAGGAAGCAATACAAAATCCGAATAGTGTCCTTAGTGTATTTATTTTTTTTTTCATATGAATATGTATATACATGTGGATTTTTGTTTAGACGAACATTACGGTCGTCAGGCGAAATCCAGACTCTCGGCATTCCAGCTTGATCGTTTCAATGTAATGAGACAAAAAGAAGGATGATGTCTTTTCCTGATGATGCAGATGATAAAATAAGATAATTTCACAATGCGAGCTACGATGTAGCACACCCTACTGCTAAACAGCTTCATCACATTGTTAATTCCTGAAACAAACAAGAACCAAAATTTAAAGTTTTCGAATTACTTGTGAAAAATAATGTTTATCAGAAAATTTAATCAGTCTGCCAAGACTTTCAACAATAATTAAATTCTGACTATAATATTGCGAAACCATTACTTCAATCATCATGTAAATACAATGTAATATTTTTCTAGAAAACTTGATATTTCCCATTTGAAAACGTACCATAATAGCATTGACGATATCATTCTGATTGTTTTTGAGAGCTTTAATAGCTTTTCCTCGAGACACGTTGGCTTGAGACATTACTAAGTCGATGTCCTTTTCTTCGACACCTGTTTCATCGACTTCTTCTTCTGATTCTTCTTGTATAGGTGCAACCACCTTTAAAAATACAAAGGGATAAAGTTAGAATATTTGCATGTTGAAATCCTCTGTAATTCTGAAATATAATAATTACCGTAGTACTACCACCAGCTTCAGTTGCTGGAATAACTGGTGGCTCCTTGAACTTCTCAGCTGCAGCTACCTGAGCTTGCTGACTCAGATCTTCAATCTTTATTATAAACAAACAATTTTCTTCAAATTAATATAAAAATAATAAAACAATTATTTAGAAAAGCAGTAGCTAAAAATATTAGTCTGCTAAGGAATTTTTCAACAGCTCTTCAGCATAGGCATACGAAACTCATAATGGATCATTACTTTTCCTACATTTCTTTGTATACATTATCAACTGTATTTTACCTTAGCTTCGCCAAATACTATGTAAGTATCTGACGCTGGATTCTTCAACACATCTGGTTTATTGATTACAAACAGAATGTTCTTTGATTTACGAATAGTTACTCTGTTAACTCCTTGAACCTACAAAAAATAATAGTTCAAACCGTTTATTCACTTATACTTTAAAAAGTATCCATTTCAATGTCATTCAACGTACAGGTTTCAAACCTAACTTGCTCATAAGCTTCCTGGCCTTTTTTTCTCCTCGACTCTGTTTTGCTTTAGAAACCACATCAATGGGAAGACCAGTGACAGTCGTACCTGGGAAACCCACGGTACCACCAGTTCCTGCATCGTCCAATTCTGGCATGGTATCATCTGAATCTGAATCAGTTCCAGATCCTGCAGCTGTCGCTTCGACCTTGGTAGGTTCAGAGCTTGCAGCTTTGTCGAGTTCAGTTAATTCCGGCATATTTGTCGAGCTGTAATTAAGAATTAAAAAATTATTTCTATTAAAAGAGGAACACATTTATAACATGCAAAATTTCCATAAAGGTTAACATCTCTCGTTTTCATGGATATCATACATTTTATAATACTAATGTAATA